CGGTTGGCCGCAGTGCGAGGGGAGGACGCGGTGAGCTGCGGGTGGTCGGGGCGCTGCAGGGAGGGGCATGGGCTGAGGGCACCCGGTCAGGGCCCGGGGACTCCCTGTCCCGCCCGGGACCGTTGTCTGCCGGGAGCTGCTGGTACCTCCCAGCTCTGCGCGCCGCTTCCCTCCTTCCGAGCTTCCACCCACCCCAACCCCCTTCTCCCTCGCCGGGTGTGATGACGGCCCCCAGCGGACTTTCAGCCTAGTCCGGAGGCTTTGTTCGGGTTATTACAAGGGGGCGGGGCGGGGCGGGTAGGGTACCATTGGCATCTGGAGGGCGGAGGCCGGGGATGCTGCTCCACGACCTCCATGCACAACCTTTGCAACAAAGAATTATCCAGCCCCAAACGTCAGTAGGGTTGAGCTTAGGAAACCCTGCCCTAGAGCCTTACAGCCTCTGGGGCCCTGAATGAACTGTGAAAATTGCTTAAAAGTCAGCTGAGCCATGAATAGGGCCCCCAAGTGACAAGCCACGTTTAAAGTGACTGGAGTCGCCAAAAACTCTGCAGCCAAATGAGCTGAGCGAGCCAATTGCACACAGCGTGAACCTGCTTTCCCCGCCTGGGGAGCAGCTGGCTGGCTGGGACTCAGGAAAATCCAGTCACAGCCAACAATTACACGTTCATCAGTAAGTTCAGAAAAGAAACGTGAATGGGATGGCTTTGCCATTCGGTAACTGTATTATGCTCTGTAAAGCGCCTCAAAGGCAACCTTTGTGCTTTTTTTCCCTCCTCCTCAGACAAGAAAAGCACCTCTAGAGCTCAGGTTTGAAGCTCACCTTTCCTCACTGATTTAAGAGTCCTGTGTGACCAGGTGAGGGCTGTGTGGAACTTGTGACAACAGGTTCCACCTGCCTCCACTGGGCAGAGAAACTGCTAATGGGCTTTCTTGAGCTCAGATCAGAAACACACAGTCACTAAGAATGAGAGAATCTTTTTTAAAAAATATATTTTTATTGATTTCAGAGAAGAAGGGAGAGGGAGAGAGAGAGATAGGAACATCAATGAGGAGAAAGAATCATTGATCAGCTGCCTCCCACTGGGAATCGAGCCCCCAACCCCAGCATGTGCTCCTGACAGGAATCGAACTCAGGACCCTTCAGTCCACGGGCTGAGGCTTTATCTACTGAGCCAAACCGGCCAGGGCAAGAATGAGAGAATCTTAAGAAAAATTTCTTATGTTTGATGCATTATATTCAAGGGAAAGATAGTAAGGTGTGTGTGGCTATATGTATGTAAATAATTCAATAAATACAGTTACCTGAAAATAAATACACATTAAATGTGTAAATAACAAAATGTGTAAGAGTACAGAGATATGTATTTGCTCACATTATATACTAAAAATGTTGGGATTTTATATATAAGTATAAATATATAATTTTTACATGTATATGAAGTATGACAAGTCATCCAACTAAAGACTAGCAGGAATATTTAGCAACATTCCTCAGTCCTGTTGAGTTTGACTTCTAAAGCTCTATAAATCCTCCACAAAGATTTGAGGGCATCAGGGAGACAAAAAGTTTTTAACTTTTTTATATTAGTAACAAATTTAAATTGACCAACAAACAAATGTATTTTGGGCAAGTGGAGTTTTTTCTCAATGAGATTTAAAATCATTTGGAGGAATATTAAACAACAACTTAAAGATTGAACGGTAGGGTGCCAGTTTCCAAAGACTGTCCTCCACAACTTGCCTTCTAATAGAAATTAACTTTGTTTCTTGAAACTTTTCTGAAATAACAGTCTGGTGATTCATATTGAAGAGAAGCATTTTAAGTAATTTTATATTCAATTGTTGGGCTTTAATAATTGTGTGTGTGTGTGTGTGTGTATCTATATCTATATACGTCCGTGCCTTTTTCATTAGCTTTCCTATATCATTCTTGAGGGTAATATTTGCTTGTCATGCAACAGATCCTTTTTGAGTGTGCAATTTAGGGAACCAGCCATCCTCATTTATTCGGCTATGAGGAATTTGCCAGGATATAGGACATTTAGTGTTCAAATCAGGACAGTCATAGGCAAACCAGGATGGTTCATCATCTCCATGAGCGAGGCCCTGAGCCAGATGCAGAGGGACCCTGGAGAACCAAGCAGACCTTGTCTTGCCTCCATGGAATTTACATTCTAAACAATTAATTACATAAGTGATGTAGGAGCTTGGCACAGAGGACTCAACCTGAGGGAACAAGGAAGTCATTTTGAGAAGGCCTGATATTTAGCTTGAGCTAAAATTGTTCTCTCTGGATTTTGCTAGTCATAGAACTAGACTAGGGTGAAAGTGTGGGAGTACATTTAAGAGAGCACTTTGGGCAGAGAGAACTGCCTGAAAACAACCCCAAACAGGAGAGCCTGGGGTCCTCCATAAACTGGGAAGACAGGGGTGGCTGAAGCCAAGACAACAACCTAGGGAAGGAGTGTGAGCCAGGCTGGACAGTTGGCAGGCAGGACCAGATCAGGCATTACCTTGGACTCTGTTCTAAAGCCAGTGAGCAGACGCTGAAGAGGATGTGTGGGTAGCATGTGGTTTTTGCATGCCGGTTAAAATGGACTTCAGGATTAAGAATGAGGACTTAAGAGAGTAGGTAGAAGGTGATAGGAAGAAGTTTAGGATTAAGATGGTTGTACCCCAGGCCTGGATAATGGCTGTGGAGGAGGAGAGAAGTAGAATAAAAAGAGACCTTAGAGCTTAGAACTAAGAGAATATTATGATGCTTCCATTCATGCATGCATTTGTTAGGTAGCACAGAGCATTTACTATGCTCCTAGCTCCTGTCCATGCAGACCTGTAGGCATCACCCTCTCCCAGGTCCATGTTTTCACCCCACTTTGCCACTCACAGGTCCGCCCCTCCACATCCGAAAGAAAGTCAGGCCTGGGTATATGTAGGACTCCTCTGTCCACCACGGTGGCCGTTAGCCACGTGCCGCCATTTCAATTAAACCAATGAAAAATACAACTAAAAACTCATTTTCTCAGTCCCAGTGACCATATTTCAATGATCAGTAGCCACCTGTGGCCAGTAGCTGCCACACTGGACAGAGCAGAATTAAAGAACGTTTCTGTCACTAACAGTTCTGTTAGGCAACACTGGTGTGAAGAGGCCCTTCCTCTGTGACCTTCCCAGCACCAGCATATCCAAGAGGAGATAGGGGTCTCTGAATCTGTAACCTGAGCAGAGTCCCCTTCTGCCCTCACGTGAACTCCAACTGCCAAAAGACCTTGAGGGGTACTTGGGGTCTGAAAGTGTCCCAGGAAACTTGTCAGTGTCCTCTCCTCTTGGGGCTCTGTGAGCTGGGTGGATCCTACCTCTTCTCTTTCTCCTCAGCTCAGTGACTGTGACTCTTCCTAACTACAAATTGGGTCCCTGGTGGGGAGAAAGGAGCCACCCTCCACCTGCAGCAGATAAGGAAATTCTGCCACAGTCGTGTGGGTCTGCTGGACTCACACCAAGGCTCAGGGAGGGTTTGTTGTGAGAGGCTGTATTAGTTTCCTATAGCTGCTGTAAAATTATCATAAACTTTGTGGCTTAATGCATTGCAAATTTATTTTCCTGTGGTTCTGGAGGTCAGAAATCCTAAATGAGTTGGCAGGACTGCATTCCCTCTGGAGTCTCTAGGGGAGAATCCATTCTCTTGCTTTGATCTTTATATAGAGGCTGCCTGCATTCTTTCCTTGGCTTAATGCTTCTCTTTTCATCTTCAGAGCTAGCAGTGTAGCATCTTCCAGTCTCTCTCTCTCTCTCTTTCTCTCTCTCTCTCTCTCTCTCTCTCTCTCACCTCTGTTTTCATCATCACATCTCTTTTGCAGATCCGGACCCTCCTGCTTCTCTTTTATAAGGACCCTTGTGATGACATTGGGCCCACCTGGCTAATTCAGGATCCTCTCCCCATCTCATGATCTTTACCTTGATCACATCTGTAAAATTCTTTACCTTATAGGGTAGCACATTCACAGGTTCTGCACACTGGACATCTTTGGAGCAGGAGTGTTAACCTATCATACAGGCCCAGGAGTCATCGACTCCCTACAACTCCTTTTCTCCTGGCCCACACTCACTCTTAGTGTCTTATGTTCCCCTCTCTGTACACACTCACACCCTTTATTGCTTTCATCTTTTAGGTGCAGGAAGGATACACATAGAGACCTCAAGAAGCTACTTTTATGGAATTACATTTTATTCTGTTACTACATTCTATATATGCTGCTTGGTATTTTGATTATTTTTTCACTTAAATTTATTGAAGATAAGAATTTATCAATACATAGAAATTGTCTTTTTCTTTTTTTGGCTGCATGTTTCTTCATGATGTGGGTATCCCATAGTTTATTGAACTGATTCCCTATTGATGGTCATTTGTGTTGTTTCCAATCCTTTGATATTACGGTATAATAAGGCCACAGTGAATACTCTCGCTGTTCTGTGCTGATCTCGGCCTATTAATAACCAATGTTGAAATAGATCCCTAGAAGTTCCAGACCAGCCCTTGTGGTTCTGATTATGATTGCCCTTCACCAATAACTATGAGGAAACTGAAAAGATACAGGTTAACGACTTACAAGACCTAGAAAGCACACCTTAGCCCACACAGGAATGTCATAGGTAGAGAGAGTTCATGGGCCTCGGGTTCTGCTTTTATTGGGATGTAGGGTGGGGGCCTAAGGTTCATGGGTTCACTCTTTATTGGTGAATTTAAAGCATAAGAACAAGAATTTGAAGTGCAGGAAGAGAAAACAAACAGGTAGTCCAAATGGTCAGTAATTAAAATCAATCAAGATCTCTAAAATAAAGAGCCTCTGTATCGGAGGCAGCTGGCCTCTTTATGTAGTCCTGAGACTGCCAGATGTGTTTTTTAGAGACAGCTGTATTTGTACTGGATGCCTCTTTGAAATGGATGTTGTCTTGGAATCAAAGCTTAAGTCAGGCATTTGCATTACAAAAAATGAAGAAAATGTCAGGGTTTACACTAAACTCACCCAGGTCTTTTAGTATGTGTGTTACCGTTGCAATAGATCCCTAGAAGTTCCATTGACAGTGAAAGAGTAAATGTTTTTGATTTTAGTGTCTTATGGAGGCATGACTGGTGCTGAAAGATTTGCTTCCAAGGTAGTTCACACACATGCTGGCATTTGTGCTGGCTGTTGGAGAGAGGCCTCAGTTCCTCTCCAAGTATCTCTCACCACAGGACCACGGGCGTGTCCTTGCAGCAAATGTCAATTTGACATTGACAAATTCCTTCCATAGGAGTTGTACCCCAGCAATGTATGAGAGTGCATTTCCATACAGCCTTGCCAATAAAAGAAGTGGCCCGCCATGTCTTTGTTGATCTGACTGATAAGAACTGGTATCAGTGTAGTTGCAGTCTACATCTCTGTGAATAAGATTATTGGTGGTTCTTCCAGTTGGATTGGTAGTGGTAGAAACAAATTACACTGTGTTGAGGAGTGAGGGGACATGAGGAAATGAGACAGAGAGTGAAAACACTGAGAGGCAGAGATGGGGCAGTAACTGGAAAGAAAACTGCTATTAGACGTATTTCATTACTAAATACTGCATTGGGTTTAATGGTGAGCGTCTAGTAGAGTGGGAGAGCTTGGAGGGAAGGGTAAACAAGAGGTCATCAATAGTGTACAGCTCCAAAGGGCAGGTGGGATGGGACACAACAGAGCTGTAGACTCTGGCCTTGTAAAGAAGGGGAGACAGCTCCTGGTTTCTAACAGAAGAGCGGCAGGAAACGACGTTCAGATTGTCATTTTGACATCAGGAAGGTAGAGTCCTCTCATGATGATCACTTTGAGAAGTAGGATGTGGGGCCATCTGCTGAAGGTCAGGGTATATTCCTTACCTGTTGCTGCTAACCTTAGTCACTTAAAATAATAGTAGTCATTTCCGGTCTCACAGTTTTTGTAGTTCAGGAATTCATCTTAGGTTCAAGGTTCTGGCTCAGGGACTTCAGTGATTTCTTTTTCTTTTTTTCTGAAGAATTCTTTTTTTTTAATACTCTATTTTTTTCTTTATTGATTAATGTATTACATATGTGTCCTTATCCCCTTATTGCCCCCCAACCCCCTCTTTCATGATTTCTTAGCCAGGTATCAGCTGAAACTGCAATCATCTGAAGGCATGACTGGTGCTGAAAGATTTGCTTCCAAGGTAGTTCACACACATGCTGGCATTTGTGCTGGCTGTTGGAGAGAGGCCTCAGTTCCTCTCCAAGTATCTCTCACCACAGGACCACGGGCGTGTCCTTGCAGCATGGCTCCCCTTGAGCAGTAGTTTTCAACCTTCTGGCCCTTTAAATACAGTTCCTCATGTTGTGACCCAACCATAAAATTATTTTCGTTGCTACTTCATAACTGTAATGTTGTTACTGTTATGAATCGTAATGTAAATATCTGATATGCAGGATGGTCTTAGGCGACCCCTGTGAAAGGATCGTTCGTCCGCCAAATGGGTCGCGACCCACAGGTTGAGAACCGCTGCCCTAGAGCAAGCAGTGCAAGAGACCAAGGTGGAAACTGCTGTGCCTTTTAGGACGCAGACTTAGAAGTCGCCTCCACAGTATTTTATTAGTCACACAGCTCAGCCCTAGTTGAATGCAGGCGTGACTATCAGGAGGCTTGAATCATTAAGGCTATATAGGAAGCTGATTGCCATAGAGGGAAAAGGTGAGATTTAAAGAGATTAGAAAGGTTTGATTAGTAGGAAGCTCCATTGACTTACAGGATTGTCCTGCAGGGTTGAGGGCTCTTTTCATGTTGGTGATCATGTTTGTCTAAAGGTGACAATAGCTCAGTTCTCCTGCAGGCTGGTCTGCCCAAGTGCTGTCACAGAGCAGGCAGATGATTGGAATCATGTGGTCAGAGTTCTGCCAGAGCACTGTGAAGCTGGGGGTTAGGGATAAGGAAATTTGTGGAAATGAGGGACATTGTAATCCAGGCTGGGTAAGCATGAAATGAGGAGAGAAGGTGACTGAGGTTAGCAAGAAGGTAGGACAGTCGGTGGACTGAGTTCTTTATGACACATATAGTGAAAGGAAAAAATGAGTGAACAAAGTAAAAGTTGGGGAGGTTGTGTTCAGAGAGAGGGAAATTTCTGAACTATTGTTCTGGATAGTGAAGCAGTGTCAGGTGATGAGCAAGCCCAGGGTGGTGCCCATAGAAATGTGTGGCAAAGGTGGAGTAAAGCAAACTCATAACAGTCTGAGATCATCTGAGTGAAGTGGGACTGGAGCTGGAAGAATAATGGAAGTCAGGTGCCCAAGTCTCAAGTGGGCACCTGATAGGGTTTGAAGGTGGGAATGTGATTGGTTGGACCACATGATTGAGACTAGGTGAATCTGAGAATTTAAAAGGAGGTGGAGCAGCCCCTGGCTGGTGTGGCTCAGTTGGTTGGAGAGTTGTCCCGTGCACTGGAGGGTCACGGGTTCGATTCTTGGTCAGAGCACATACCCAGGTTTTGGGTTCAATCCCTAGTCAGAACGCATATGGAAGGCAACCGATCAATGTTTCTGTCTCACATCCATGTTCCTCTCTCTCTCTCTCTCTCTTTCACTCTCTCTCTGAAATAAAATTTTTTTAAAAAAATATTGCCTCGGGTGAGGATTAAAATAAGTAAATAATAAAATGGGGTGGGGCAGTAATGTACTGGTCTTACCATGGTGGACCGAAGACAAGTTTTGCCATCACACAGCCCTGGGTTTATCAACTGCTAGGCAAAATAAAGGCCCAATAGCAGACATTGCATTTTGAAGGAGAACATGATGGGCGGCTAAGATAGATTTGTCCTCAGTAACCTAGAGAAAGAGAGAAGCTATGACTTTTTCATATTATTTATTCCAGACTGCATTGTGGAAGTAAGAAGAGAAGCGTCCTGGTTTTTCCATTGCTCTGTTGTTTAGGAAAATTTACTGGCTGAATCATAGGATCTTGTCATGGTTCTATTCCCCACCTCTGGTAAGTTGTGGGGTCCCAGCAGCTCTCAGAGACCAAGTGTTAAAGGCCCCTGTACCACCGAGGAGGTAGGGGAGGGGCTGAGCAGGTGAGGCAGGAGTGGAGCTCAGAGTCACTGGTACCTAATTAGGTTTTGGGTATTTGGGATTTCAGTAGTTTGTGTGACTGTGGAGATGTTATCTGTGTGGTAAATGTGCAGGAGCTTTTGAATTTTATCTCTAATTCTTTTTATAAACCTGATTAAATGACAGTGATGTCCCTTGGATTTTCGAATTCTGTGAAACGTGAATAATCTCTTCCTCAAGTGCAGTACGACTCTTGAGCTCTGTTTTCTGGCCCTAGTGAGACAGGGCTCTTCTCTGGTTCTTTTATGAAAGGGTGTGTGTGTGTGTGTGTGTGTGTGTGTGTGTGTGTTTTTTCACAGGGAGGAGGAGAGTTTGTGAGTGTTAGAGTATAGATACACCTGGATTCTTGTGACTTATTTATGACTCATTTCTACTTCTCCAGTTCAGTCTCCCCTGTACCCAACACCCCCTCAAAAGGGATGCACAGAGGAGGAAGGGTTTGTTAATGGCTTCCTGACAAGCTGGTTACCGGTGAGTCATATGTTTCTTTTTCCAAATCATTATTTTTTGGCCAAAGTTGAACTTATTATCTTTCAATGACCTGGAGCCTCACAGCCAAACCAGATTTATTCACAGGTAGGAGGAGAGTTTGTGAGTGTTAGAGTATAGATACACCTGGATTCTTGTGACTTATTTATGACTCATTTCTACTTCTCCAGTTCAGTCTCCCCTGTACCCAACACCCCCTCAAAAGGGATGCACAGAGGAGGAAGGGTTTGTTAATGGCTTCCTGACAAGCTGGTTACCGGTGAGTCATATGTTTCTTTTTCCAAATCATTATTTTTTGGCCAAAGTTGAACTTATTATCTTTCAATGACCTGGAGCCTCACAGCCAAACCAGATCTTCAGGCATCCAGGATCTCTGAGCATCTAATGGAGGGTGAGAGACTGCTCAAACAAAGTCAGTATATATCAGTATTTACTACATTGCAAAGTTTCCTGCAGGGTCACTCTCTCATGTTCTGCTGATAGTTTCTAAGGGGACATTAAGGAAAGACATGACTGTTTCCTAAACTCAAGCAGTTGATGGTGGCCATTAGGAAATCATTCATACGTTTACCAAATATTTCTGATTTCTGCAATTTCTCAGGCCTATGTTCAACCTTTGAGAGTGAGGGCTGAGTCCAAAAGCAAATTAGAGTAGAGCCCAGAACTCTGATACACAAAACACACCTTCTGCTTTGAATTGCCGGCCCCCGCTCTTGCCATCTTGGCCCTTTTCCTATATAACGACAGTGGTCCTTGGCTAAGCCATAATGTTTCCGATGACTTTAGGACATGGTGACCTTCAAGGATGTGGCCGTAGAGTTTACCCAAGAAGAGTGGGCATTGCTGGACCCTTCTCAAAAAACACTGTACAAAGATGTGATGCTGGAGAACTGCAGGAACCTGGCATCGCTTGGTAAGCCTGACACCATTCCTGCATTTATTTCTTAAGCAACAAGTCTTTCCTTTTTTTTAAAATTGAGGCACCATTCATATAACATAAAATTTACTATCATAACCGTTTTAAAATATACAGTTCAGTGGCTTTGATGTATTCACAGTGTTGTGCAACCATCAGCACTAATTGTCTTCACCACTAAAAGAAACTCACACCCATTAAGTGTTAATACTCATTACATTCCCCACTCCCAACTGCTGGCAGCCACTAATTTGCTTTCTGTCTCTATGAATTTGCCTATTTTAGAACATTTTGTATCATCGGCTCATAAAATATGTGATCTTTGTGTCTGGCTTCTTTCAGGCAGTATAATGTATAAAGGTTTGGCTGTGTTATAGTATGTATCTCAGTTACTTATGCCTTTGTATGACTGAATAATATTTCATTTTGTGGGTATACAATTTTTTGTTTACCCATTCAATGGTTGATAAACATTTGGGTTGTTGCCACATAACAGGTTGTTATAAATAATACTGCTATGCATTTTTATATACAAGTTTTTATTTAAACCTATGTTTTCATGTCTCTTGGGTATATATCTAGGAATAGAATGCTGGGTCACATCCTACCTAATAATAGACAAACATGGTAATTAACCATACCTTCGCTATGCCTCCCATTGGCTAATCAGCGAGGTATGCAAATTAACCACCAATAAAGATGGCGGTTAATTTGCATACGTAGGCGTGAAGTGGCAGAGCAAAGACTGAAGGTGGCTCCTGCCGGAGCAGTGAAGACTGAAGGCGGCTTCCCCGGAGCGAAGGCCTGGGTGCTGGGTGCTGGAGGAAAACTGGTGCTGGCAGCCAGGAGAAGGGAAGGCCTATTGCACGAATCTTTTCGTGCAACAGGCCTCTAGTATTACTATATTTAGCTTATTAAGAAACAGCCAAACTGTTTCCCCAGCATCTGTACCAACATATGAGTTCAGATTTCTCCACATCTTTCCCAACATTTGTTTTTGTTTTTTTATTATAGTCATTCATATGGGTATGAAGTGGCATCTTGTTTTGATTTGCATTTCGTCCTGATAACCTTGAACATTTTTCCCTTTCCTTGTTAACTATTTGTATATCTTCTTTGAAGAAATGTTTATTCAGGTCCTTTTAAATTTGGTTATCTTTTTGTTCTTGGGTTGTAAAAGTTCATTATATATCTTGAATACTATACCCTTATTCAGAATATGATTTGCAAATAATTTCTCCCATTCTGTGGTGTCTTTCTATTTTCTTTTTTTAATTTAATTTTTTAAATTTTAGTACAGCTGGTATGTAATATTATATTGGTTATATGAGTTTCAGGGTACAGTATAATGATTTGATATTTCTATACCTTACAATGTGATCACCCCACTAATTCTAGTAATAATCTGTCACCATACAAACCTATCACAATATTATTGGCTATATTCTCCTTTTTCATCCATCCTCCCAACTCCCTCCCTTCTGGCAACCATCCCTTTGGTCTATGTTTCTATGAGTCTGTTTTTGTTTTGTTTGTTCCTTTGTTTTTGAGATTCCATGTATAAGTGTAACCATACAGTATTTGCCTTTCTCTGCCTGACTTATTTCATTTAGCATAATACCCTCTTAGAGCAGTGATGGCAAACCTATGACACGTGTGTCAGAGGTGACACACGAACTCATTTTTTTGGTTGATTTTTCTTTGTTAAATGGCATTTAAATATCCTATCTAATAAAAGAGAAACATGGTCATTAGCGTACGTCTGCTACCCTTCCCATCGGCTAATCAGGGCAATATGCAAATTAACTGCCAGCCAAGATGGCGGCTAATTTGCATATGTAGGTGACAAG